GGAAGTTGTTTTAAGACATCAATTTTTGTGGTACCTTATTACATGGTGAAAAGTAACTAAGGCTTTTATGAAGATTAAATGGTTTAATGTATATAAAACACTTAGCACAGAGCCTGGCACATGATAAATACTTTATACACATTTGTTGCTATTATAATATTACTATACCATAACAACAGTTATAAAATCTGCATTTTTGTGTATATGTGTGTGTGTGTGTAATTCACAAGAAAGGACTGAGAAAACAAACTCAAACTGAAATCCAATATTATGATGCACTTTAATATGAAATAAGCTTTAAGTCATCATTTGAATGGGAATTCTTATCTTTCTCTGACTACGCATTAAGTAATGAGGGTTTTTTTCTTTAGGTCTTCAGGGTTTGTTTTTTTTTTCCTAGTTTCTTTCTCATGTTATTCCATATTGCAAATCTGAATAGCCTGTCTGAATTATCTTCCTACTTCCTTGGTTTCAGTTCCCATCATATGTTAATGAATCCAAATCTTTATCTTTAGCCCAACTTATTTTTAAATTTCGGATGTGAACATTCAATTACTAAAAATCCCACAGGCACCTCCAGGTCAACACGGCAAAAACTGAACTCAACTCCTTATCTTCTCTTCAAATTTCCCTTTTTTCTTTGTTCATTATCCACCAATTGCTTAAGTCAAAATTTAAGTTTTCAGAAGGAGATTTGGCCTGACATCACAAATCACATTGGTTATATGTTCGTTAAAATAGGATCCTGTCTATAGGTAGTAATTGAAAAGTTTAAGGTCTTGATAAGGTAGTTTATGTATTATGATACCAGAACTTCTGTACTTTATGAGACAACAATGCATATAAATTGTAGAGAACATTTTATAAAGTGTCTGATATTTGGAGTATGCTAAGAAAACCACAATAGTTTGGCAACTCTCGGAATTTAGGCCTTTTCTTTTGTTTTTCACACTCAATCTTAGTGAAGATTGTGACTATATACATTCCCATGCAAATTTTAATCTGAAGGATGTAAAACAGCCATATAGATTTAATTTGTCTGAGCAGTAGTAGGGCCCATTGCTTTTTCTAGTTAGTATATAGTGCTGTTCTTTTCCTCTTCATAGCACTGTCAAGAACAGACACTTTGTTCTACACTAGCTATATATGTCCAGTCCCACAAGAGTAGTAAAAACATGCTTATAAATGTGTTAATGTAATAACATTAAGGGAAGAATAGTGTTTTGGCAGAGAAATTTTTAATTAGTTGCTTTAATAAAAACAGCTACAGCTCTATCTTCTTCTTATCATAGAATGTACTTTGGTCTTTAGGTCAGCTCATATAAGACAACTGGCAGGAAAGTAAGCATTCTTTGCTACATGGCTACAACAATATCAGGGAAGTGTTAGAATAACTTAAACTTCCCTAATGAGCTACAAGGCTTTAATGAGAAGATTTTCTATTTTTGTATGATTAATATTGCTCTCTGATAGAAAGAGGGCTTTTTTTTTTTTCCTCCGAAGGAAGTATAGAACAAAAGAGTTCAAGATAAATGATTAGGAGGAATGTAAGAAGTGGTTAATCCCTTATAGCCCAAAGGGGATTAATTATTGATAACCAGTAATTGCCACCAGCATAGGGAGTCTCTCTAAATAATCATTATAACTTGCAATAAAGTAGCAAAAAACTTTTTAAACTACCAGCATTTTAACCATTTATTTTCTGAATTCAGTCAATTGAGCAATCAGTGTAGACAGGCCATATAACTGTGTGAGATTATGAATTTATAATGTGTTTAGAGACACTATTGTTATTTGTAATTTGTATTGACTTTTTTTCTTCATAAAAACAGTCCTCGTAAATCACTAAGTCAACATGCACAATGTGGCTGTGTGTGTGCGTGCGTGTGTGTGTGTGTAGGAACAAAGCTCTGAGTGTGTGTGTGGATGCACACGTTTGGAAAGTCAGCAGTTTAGAAGAAATAGAATAAAGAAGGAAGAATAAGAAAAAGAAATAGTCATAATAGTCACTGATAACAAATTAGCAGATTTCAAGACGTCCAAGGAGAAGTGGTGAGAATGTAGTAGAGAAACAAGGAGAAGTCGAAGTAGTGAGAAGTAGTGAGGAAATCAAAAGTCTGTGAAAGAAGTAAAATGGAGGTAATGGTTATTGCATTTAAACAGAGGTCAGTTTTGCTCATTGAGCAGAGGTTGCGTAGAAGGTTGATGATGCTTAGGAGAACAGAGTGGCTTTTAAATTTCAATTGGGGAAACAGTGGTTGCAGGGAAAAGGGAGTGAGAGCCAATGCCAGAAATTAAGGGTGGTGGGGGGAGAAACCATTTTGTCATTGGTGTCAACCATCTCTGAATGTGTGTTTAGAAGGTTTTAATTTCAGCAGGAGATGGTACATTTATTTATTTTAAAAAACAGTTAATTTGATCATGACACAGCTATGCTTTTTGAAACTTGTGGGGAGAATCAGTCTCCTGTGTGCAGTCTTTCCACTCCTACTGGGCCACGTACGGATGGATGGGCTTTGGGCCTGTAACACATTCTTACCAAGCGATAAGGGGACCCACATAGGCTGTAACGGGCTTATGGCCTTGTGAACAAGTATCTTTCCCTGTTTCTGATTCAATGTATGCTTCTTTATACTGCTTAAGTGCATGCCTCACTGATCCTCAGACACACCCCCAGCTTTCTGTATTTTAGACCCCACAGGAGAGAGGTCGAGGTCCTTCCACTGCAGCTGAAGTCCAGCTCATGTGGCCACACTGCCGGCAAGGGCTGCAGAGTAGGTAGCTTATAGCAGTTGGGGCAGATGCATTGCAACTGGCTCGATCTAGTGCACTCTTTCCTTTCGTTGTTAGTAAACGCCGTTACCCTCGAGCCTCATTGTCTGTTCTCAGAGACTTCGGATCATGCACTGTTCTTTTCTCTGGGTGGCACTTCTCTGTCTTTTAACCTCGGCTATAACCATGTGCAGCACAGCTTGACCACCAAGTGAATGGTGAAACAAAGCTGCTTCTTCCCAAGCCTCATGAGGGTTGTGCCGTGGTTTGCAGGTAGGAGAAGAATTTCAAGTTATTAATCATCTATCAGTACTGATTACCATTGAGAACGGATCCTTCAGGTCCATCAGCTTATTGCTGCTTCTGCATCATTCTTAGGTCACAGAACAGTGGTCTACCCAGGAATCAGCTCAAACTGGCTGACTTGTGCCTTTGGTCCAACCTTCTTAGGACTGACCACAGACCTATTCCTCTCTTAGATCTCCTGGTCTTCCTCTCAGGAATTTTTCCAGGGATCCTGGACAAGTTTCCTCACCGTTCTGGATCCCCACGACCTCTCATATTTCACATTCACAGGAATCTCCACTCCACGTCTTCTCTTAAACTCTACTCTCACTCTATTTTTTCACATTTGACATTGATGACCATTAAAACAAGGATCTGAATTATTACCACCAAAGATATTGTCTACCTTTACTTGAACCAGACAGTTTAATCTTCAACAAGTTCCATGAGGGAAGGGGATGGTCTAACATCATTCTAGTATGGCAAAGAAAGAGGAGAGTAACAGGAAAGTTGTGTCTATATTATTTGGACATTCATATTGTGCCAGATTTTTATTTCAGTGTGCATGTTATTTTTAATAATTAGAATGATACAAATGGGTATTAAGAAATAGCAAAAAAAAATTTTTTTGTCAAATTGGAATCAAGGATGTACGGAAATTCCCTCCATTTGAAATGCTTGTTAATTCCTGGCCTTTCTGTGATTGAATTTATATAAACAGAGAGAATTGGAGATTAAGGTAATTAATCAGAAATTTCAACTTAAAATAGCAAGTGAGAAACAAGTGACATTTCCCACAGAATTCTGGGTTTGACATCCATACAGATAATATTCATTAGTTAGATGTTTAGCTCTCTTCTTTATTTTTAAGGAAAGATTGTTCTCTAATTGTAAGTGAATATAAAGTAAAATTAAGATAGATCATACAAATATTCTGATTGATTAAAAGAATAAAACTGCCAGCTCTCCAAGAAATATGCCAGAATTCAAGAATATCTTATTGCGTTTTTTTTCTACTGTAAATAGAGGTTCAACCAACATTTTCTAATAACTCACAAATTCATCTTTTCTTGTTAGAACATGTCACCCACCACTTTTTGATAAGATGTTCTCAGATAATAGCTGGGGCAGATTGACCAAAGGAAAGCAATTTCTTTAATCAGGAAACATAATGATTCCATCTCAAACTTTAGATAGGGCTATGGATATCAATATATTTTTTTTTTTTTTTTGTCTATTAATAGTGCTGTATCTCTAGTAGAATTGTAGACAGTACCTTCTGCAGGTCTCAATGCAACTTTATAAAAGGCCATAACAATACCTTTAGAATCAAATCCATTAGCTGTTCTACAAAGAAGCAAGTTTTCTAGTAACTTGGCCGTGACTTGAAGACAGGGACCTTGTAAACACTAAGCAGAGGGATGTGGAGAACAGAAATCTAAATTCTCTGCCTGGCCAGAGCCAGTGACCTTGCTTTCTCTCTGCTCTTGAGTCATTTTATGGGTATCATTATCTTCACCTACAAAAGGAGAAAGTTGTCCAACATGTTCTGTGTTCCTTTCAGTTCTACAGTTCTTTGGATAATTTGCCTGGTGCCCAAGAGACTCCCTGAATGTGGCCGATATGCAGTAAATGTTTGATGATTATAAAAAAAAAAAAAAAATTGACTTCCAAATGGCTGTTGTATGGAAATACTGTGGCATCTCAACACTTTTGATTTGGGGCACAGAATCAATGTGATTAAGTCACATATGCAATGGATTTCTTGTTTACTTAGAAACAACACATTGTACCCCACAAATATGTACAATAAAAAATCAAAAAAGTAGTTTACATTTTTTGAGCACATGAAATGTCCTAAATTCTTCCCTATATTTACTCTTTAATCCTTGTAACAGCCCCATGAAATATATACTATTATTATCATTGTTCCCTTCTTGCAGGTGAGGTTGAGGCTCAGAGAAATTCATTACATTGTCTACATGCACACAGTAAGTGGTAGAGCCAAGGTTTAAACCCTGGCATTCTGGTTTTATGCTCTTAACCAACTGTGTATTATTGGTATGTTATTGTCATGATTTTAGAAAGAATTACTAAATTATTTGAAATGTATTAATATGTCCTTGTTTATTTTCAAGTTTAGTAAAGAAAAAATTGACCTTTCCATGTATTCAAACAAAATGCATCATTTACTACTTCATCAACATCCACAATTTCTATTTTTCTACCCTTTGTGGGATCAAAAGCTGAAATATCAACTTTTTAAAATTTTAATCTAATATTGCAATTCATTTTTATGATTTGCTAGCATGTATGCTAGAATGTATCAGTGCTTTCTATTTTTTGCATTTAATATGTAGGGAGACTTCTGGTCAAGATGGCAGAATAGAAGATCCCCAGTGTCACTCTCTCCCACATATCAACCAATTGCAATGACAGCCGAGCTGGGGCAGCTAGAACTCAGGGGAAGAGGAGGAGAGACCTACGGAGTGCATGAAGGCAGGAGAAGCCATGATGAGAGAAAAAATAAACTGCTTGGACTGTATTGAGCCCTGGCCATATCCAGGCTGGAGCTGCTGAGCCCTCAGAGCAGGAGCAGGAAAAAGCTGCAACTGTGCCCTTTGGATGAAGTTGCTTGGAGGCAGCAGGAGAGAAGAGGGCCTTGGTGGCCCACAGGCCAGGAAGACCACTAATAGGATTCCCATAGACTCACATAGAAGTGAGGAGCCAGAACAACTGAAGAAAAGGAGCCACTCTGAGGACAGTGAGTCATCGCAAGGGACCAGTGTACGGCCAGTCCCATGGGAAGTGTTTGCAGCTCCAGTGGTGAGGAGACAGGCCCACCAGGAGAACACCAGGGCATAGCAAGGACAGCTGATCTGCACCCCTGTCAGCAAAGTACCACTCAGAAGAGTTTGGTCAGGAATATGGAATTGCATGGGGTGCT